TGGTGTGCTTTGCACATTTTGACTTGGAAATGTGCGTCGCGCCACAACGGCGTGCACTTTTTCGACATCTTAACTTCCAAAAGTGGTCCGGAGCTGGTGTGTTTTGTACATTTGGTCCGAACGTGGTGTGCTTTCTACATTTTGACTTGGAAATGTGCTTCGCGCCACAACGGCGTGCACTTTTTCGACATCCCAACTTCCAAAAGTGCCCCGAGACCCAGGTGTTTTGTACATTTTGACTTGCAAATGTGCTTCGCGCCACAACGGCGTGCAATTGTTCATCTCTCATCTGGCCAGCTGGCTCCGCACCCGCCGCTTAGCGAGCCTACTTTTCGACCCTCCGGAGCCACAAATCATTGGAAAAACACAGTGTTTCGCGACTTTCCTACCTTTTCGCGCATCTGCACCTTCTTTCTTCTGACTTTCTCTTCTACTCTTCTTTCTTCTAATCTTTCTCTTCTCTCTGCCTCTTCCCTGCTCTGCTTTCCATCTGTCCATATTGTCGGAAGTTTGACTTCTAAACTTCCTTCGACAACTACAACTACACATTACTCTACACTAATGGCATCGCAACATACCAATTACATTACACTACAACTACAACTACAACTACAGCTGCAACTAAACTACGGTAGGCTATGCTCCACTAAACTAATTACATTGCACTACACTCCACTACACGAGACTACACTCCACTACGCTCCACTCCACTACACTACACTCAATTACACCCAAGTACACTACAACAACAAAAGCAACAACAACAACAACTACTACTACTACTACTGCTACTACTGCTACTACTGCTACTATTACTATTACAACAACTACTACTGCTGCTGCTACAACAACAACAACAACAACAGCAACAACAACAACAACTACTACTACTACTACTGCTGCTGCTGCTGCTACTGCTACTGCTACTGCTACCGCTACCTGCTACCTGCTACCTGCTACCTGCTACCTGCTACCTGCTACCTGCTACCTGCTACCTGCTACCTGCTACCTGCTACCTGCTACCCGCTACCCGCTACCTGCTACCTGCTACCTGCTACCTGCTACCTGCTACCTGCTACCTGCTACTGCTACTGCTGCTGCTACTACTACTACTACAACTACAACATAAGACTACACCAATTACATTACATTACACTACACTACACCACACCACATTACAACTACACAACTACAGCTACAACTACAACTACGCTACTTTACACTACACTACACAGACTACACGAAACTACCCTACATGACATTACACTACACTCATTACACCACCACAAAGGCAACTGCAACTACAGTACACTAGTTAGACCACACCACAACTACAACTCCACTACACTACAACTACAACCACAGCTGCACTGCACCACACTACATCCAGCAGTTGCGGGTGAGGTGGCCGACCAGGTGACCACTGCAACCATTGCAACCACTCCAAAAAACACAACTCCAACCACCTTTCGGCTGCCATCCGTGATTCAGAACAACCAACCTCTCCTATAGGTTTCCTATTTTTGAAACTTCCGCCACCGCCTTGTGCGATACTACTGGTAAAGTTTCATGTTAGGGGAAGTTTTCGTACCCTAATACTAAATACCCCCTAATAAGAAAAACTAGCTGAAGTGTTTATTATTTGGGGGGTTAGTATTAGGGGGAAGGGATTAATATGAAGGATGTGCTGAAAGTGCAAGAGGTACTTGCGTCGGGCAGCATGACGGATGTGTTGCAAGCGCAACTACGCATAAAAGCTAATAAGCTAGTAGCCCCCCCCACCCTAGGCCCGCTCACTGCACGCGCAGCCGCGCACGATAACGACCCAGCACGAGTGCGATTCAAGTCAATCCGATGGAACGACGTGAACCTGTGGAAGCGGGCACAATACGCATCTCTGCGATTGGATTTCAAATGCTGTATCAAGCAATAAACTCTCCAACCAGCTCGAACATTGTGTTGCAACACGCCTACGTTGAATGGTACTTCATCAAGGTCAAGCAGAATACAAACATGTCCGCACCAGAGGCTTGATCAGTTGCCAACCGCCGCAACAACCAAGTGTGCAAAGTAATTAATGTTGGCACCCGATTAGTAGCATGGTACTCTATTGTGGCAAATTTGTTCCTCCTTATTCAGTTCCATGATGTTTGGGGGGGCCTCTATTGTGGCAAGTTTTTTCAGATTTGTTTAGTGTTTTTTGATTCACTTTTTTATTTTTCCAATTTTTGAATTTATTTTTAAATTAATTTAAAAATGTTTTTCAGTTTTTTATTTTTTTAATGTTAAAGCTTTCAAATGCAAGGTTTCCAAATAATTAGATGCCTTATTAAACCCTTATTAAAAAACAACATCCAGACAATTTTTCAAGGGGGTACCTGATGAGTGGCTCAGTTACTCAATAATATGAATGTTTGGATGGTACTCTATTGTGCCCAACAACTTTTGGGGCTGAAAAAAAAAACAAAAACCCTTTCTCCACCTTTCTTTGAGTAAAGCTTGATCCCTTTACTTCAGAAAGCCATATACGTGTTAAAGCTTTAAAATGCAAGGTTTTCCAAATAATTAGATGCCTTATGAAACCTTTCTTTAAAAACAGCTTCCAAACAATTTTTCAAGGGTGTACCTCATGAGTGGCTCAGTTACTCAATAATATGAATTTTTGGATGGTACTCTATTGTGCCCAGCAGCTTTTGGGGTTGAAAAAAAATCAAAAACCTTCCCCACCTTTCTTTGAGTAAAGCTGTTCCATCTACTTTAGGAAACCATATTTGTGTTAAAGCTTGAAAATGCAGAGTTTTCCAAACAATTAGATGCCTTATTAAACCCTTTTTAAAAACAGCACCCAGACAATTTTTCAAGTGGGTACCTCATGAGTGGCTCAGCTACTCAGTAATATGAATGTTTGGATGGTACTCTATTGTGCCCAACAACTTTTGGGGCTGAAAACAAAAACAAAAACCCTTTCTCCACCTTTCTTTGAGTAAAGCTTGATCCCTTTACTTCAGAAAGCCATATACGTGTTAAAGCTTTAAAATGCAAGGTTTTCCAAATAATTGATGCCTTATGAAACCTTTCTTAAAAAACAGCTTCCAAACAATTTTTCAAGGGTGTACCTCATGAGTGGCTCAGTTACTCAATAATATGAATTTTTGGATGGTACTCTATTGTGCCCAGCAGCTTGTGGGGTTGAAAAAAATCAAAAACCTTCTCCACCTTTCTTTGAGTAAAGCTGGTCCATTTACTTTAGGAAACCATATTTGTGTTAAAGCTTTAAAATGCAAGGTTTCCCAAATAATGAGATGCCTTATTAAACCCTTTTAAAAAAAACAGCATCCAGACAATTTTTCAAAGGGGTACCTCATGAGTGGCTCAGTTACTCAATAATATAATTGTTTGGATGGTACTCTATTGTGAGCACCAACTTTTGGGAGTGAAAAAAAAACAAAACCCTTTCTCCACCTTTCTTTGGGTAAAGCTGGCCCTTTCACTTTAGAAAGCCATAGCTGTGTTGAAGCTTTAAAATGCAAGGTTTCCCAAATAATTAGATGCCTTATTAAACCCTTATTAAAAAACAGCATCCAGACATTTTTTCAAGGGTGTACCTCATGAGTGACTCAGTTACTCAATAATATGGATGCTTGGATGGTACTCTTTTGTGCCCACCAACTTTTCGGGTTGCAAAAAAAACAAAACCTTTGAAAGTAAATTGAAATCAATTGAACTCAATTGAAAGTAAATTGAAATCATTGGAAGTAATTAAATTGAAATCAAATGAAAGTAAATTGATTTCAATTGAAAGTAAATTGAAATCAATTGAAAGTAAATTCAAATTAACTGAAAAATCAATTGAAAGTAATTTGAAATCAATTGAAAATCAATTGATTTCAATTGAAAGTAAATTGAAATCAATTGAAAGTAAATTGAAATCAATTGAAAATCAAATGAAAATAATTTGAAATCAATTGAAAGTAAATTGATTTCAATTGAAAGTAAATTGAAATCAACTAAAAATAAATATGCAAAAAAATTGCTGGGGGGCGCAAAAAAAATGTCAATTATTCAGTAGACTAAAATTGTTTAGGGGGGGGCCTCACACTAATCAGACGCCAACATTAATTATAAATCGGATTCCCATGGACCAAGAGCCATTCAAGCGGCTCGGCCATCCTCATCCGACCCAAAATACCAACCAAGCGAGCGGCACAAGCACAATCCGAATGGCTGTTGCCACCCCAAGGATAGCACGCAACCAAAGACTGTACATGCGCAACCTTCGACCCGCAGACCAGATACGAGGCGAATCCGTCCAGCTGATAGGCTTGCACACCCAAGCATATCACCCTGCTGACGGCAAACGTGCGAACAGAATTGAGAGACCGGAGAAAACCCTTGTCACTCTCATTGTGATTGTCATTGTGGTTGCCATTGTCATTGTCCTTGTCATTGTCCTTGTGGCATTGTGATTGTCGCTGCCATTGTGGTTGTGATTGTCATTGCCATTGTCATTGTGATTGCCATTGTCATTGTCATTGTCATTGTGGCATTGTGATTGTCATTGTCACTGTGATTGTCACTGTCATTGTGGTTGTGCTTTTCGTTGCCATTGTCATTGTGATTGCCTTTGTCATTGTCAGTGTCATTGTGGTTGGTTGTGAGTGATTGTGAGTGATTTTGAGCCGCGTCTTCTCAAAGCTATCTGTCCACTCGAGGCATGAATCTATACATATTGGCCCGCTGTGAGGGAGCAGCAGTGTCTGTCTGTCTACTTGTCTGTCTGTCTGCCTGTCCGTCTGTCTGTCTGCCGCCCTCCCTCCCTCCTTCCAGCCCTCCTGCCTCTCTTGGTGAAACTACCTTTATCCTGTTTGCCTTTCCACCTTTCTTCTGCATCCATGCTTCGTTCTTTCCATGTATTTGTCCAATTCTGCATGTCCCAGCACCATTCCATACATCCATGCATCGGTCCGTCCGTCTCTCCATCTCTTTCTTGGCCAAGCTGCTTGGGATATTGTTCCTGCTGGAAACACAGAAAATGAAAAGGCTCAAACACTCAGCACTCGAGACTGACCTCATCCACTCACACACATGCGGATGACCCTGAATTGATGTTATGTCAATTGATGGCAAAATGGAAGTGAACTTCTTCGCCTACTTCGCACCTGACCATAAGCTTCAACCTGCACCCAGCTTCAAGGCAGGATGAACTCCAGCCGTCCTCTCTTCTGCCAAGTAAATGCCGTTTGCGGTAATAAGGAGGATAAGCGTCATCCTGCACAAGTAATCAATATGCATTGGCATCTGGCCAACCAATCATCTCGAAGAGAGACGGGTGTCATCAAGGAGTCGGAGAATCTCATGATGTCTAGTCTTATGTTATTCTTGTCTTGCAAACCAAGCAGCGTGTAGATAAGCACCGGTACGGACTGAAGCCTGCAAATGGGAAGACATGGGGAGACACACCCACTGCGCTGAACCTCTGCATGAGAAAGCCAAATCACCACTATTTATACACCAAGGCGCGAGTTGCTGCATGCATCCTGAGCACAAGAGCATGGCCAGCATTCTCCGCCAGAACTTGCACCCGAACTTAATTAAGGCTCTTGGAGGACAATGAACTTCAATGTTCTGCTAATTCTGCTTTGAAATATAATGAAATATACATACTACTACTAGTAGTATCAATGCGCCATAATGCGCCGCCTGGTTGACAAGCGAATGTGCTTCCGAAACCGTTCTGCGTGCAGGCCAAGTCTCAACAAGTAATCGGAAAGATTCAAAGTATCGCAAGAGCTTCAGAAAGCGCACCACTGGCAAAACAAAGAGAAGCAGCACCTCAGCACAACGGCTAAACTCTGGCCGCTGGCCAGCTGAATGTGGCTAGATCAGTGGTGACCAGCGGTGATCAGTGTTGGTGCTGGCTAGCCAAGCGTGGGAGCCAAGTCACTTGAATACTTTCTTCCACCTGAAGCTGCAGGAAAGGGATGCCTTTGCAGATTGATTTTTACTAGAGACTCTTGATGACTTTTGACAGCCCTTAGCCCAGCAGACTGCTGTGAGAAACTGATAGCTGTATCAACTGTTCGTTTGGAAATTGGTTCCCGATGGTTCCCGCCCCAAAAAATGTGAAGGCTGAGGGATTCAAATGGATGGCTCATCTCGCGAATGCGAATTCCTGTCTTCACTCTCTACTGACTCTCTACTGACGCTACTGAGTCAGCTAGAACTTGACCTCTCTTTGTTGCCATGTGGCTGATGTTGAGGGCGGCGTCTGAATGACGAAACCTATGCTTGCCTCGGCTGGAATAACGACATGAAGTGGACACGGAAGGAGCACGTAAGCAATGCAGTCACAAAATGCGCATCCAAGGCCAAATAGGGTCAGAATCAGAACGCCCTGATACGCCCTGCCTCCTCTTTATCCAAAAAGAGAAAAAAAGAACATCCTTTGCATGTACAGCAGCGATCATGCCAAGCTGCACGAAAGAACAACCCCGTTGCAGACAGCAGGTCAGGCCAGTTGTAAGGATCTAGGAGGAATGCACGTCGAAAGGGGCACACCAAAATTCGGGCACCAAACCTGACGTAACGCGCGTGGACTTGAGAAGGGCAAGTCTGCCAAGGTCTGCGATGGTAGAGGTTGGATGCGTACAAAATGATATAACAGGCCGACACAGGTCGACATATAGGTCGACATATAGGTCGACATATAGGTCGACTGTGTCTTACGACCTTTTTTCTGCAGCCGTTTGCTCGGAATGGTATCTTTGCGCTACCATTCGGACAGATCTCTTCAAGCCTGTTTAGACAGCCCCAAGGCATCCAAGCATCCCAAGCCCCACACAACTCTCCAAGCCACTCCAACAGGTAGAGCGTATCAAATGTTGTCTCTATTACAGCAGCACAATCGGGACCAAGCACCCGGTCCTGGACCCAAACGTGACAGCTCCATCTCTCTGTGGAATCACATTCTATTTTGCATGTTTCTTGCCGGATATTGTGGATGGCATTCACTCTTCCCAATCTTTCCAGACCCATCCCAACCCATCCTCAAAGACCTGTAAGTTGGGGGTCAATACGCTAAGCACTGTGGCTACCTGAGGCATCAACTTTGGGCACAAAGGACTGAATATGAACCAACATTGGAGGACAGCAATGCCGCAGAAGTTAATATCACCCCTCATGACCTGGCATTGGTCTTTTGCGCAATGTTGCGTATTTGCCATCATTGATAGCCCATCGACATGCATGAATATGCGCATGATTTGCCATCATTTGATAGATTGATACTTGGAATTACTTGGAATTACCAATAGTACCGCACAAGGCGGTTGCGGAAGTTTCAATTCAGGAAACCTATGGGAGAGGTTGGTTGTTGTGAATCACGAATCGTCACGAATGGCAGAGCGAATCCACTGATGGACCGACAGGTGGTTGGAGTTGTGTTTTTTATGGTTGCAATGGTTGCTGCTGGATGTAGTGTGGTGTAGTGCAGTTGTAGTTGTAGTTGCAGTTGTAGCTGCAGTTGTAGTGTAGCGTAGTGGAGCTGTAGCTGTAATGTAGTGTAATTAGTGTATTGCGCAGTTGCAGCTGTAGTCATGGTGTGGTGTAATTAGTGCAGTGTAGTGCACTGTAATGTCGTGTAGTGTTGTGTAGTGTGGTGTGGTATAGTGTAGTGTAATCTAGTCTAAGGTAGTGTAGTTGTAGTTGTAGCGTAGTGCAGTGTAATTAGTGTAGCACAGTGTAGTGCAGTGTAATGTACTGTAGTGTAGTGTGGTGTGGTGTAGTGTAGTATGCGTAGTGTAGTGTGTTGTAGTGTAAGGCAGTGGTAGTTGTAGTTGTAGCTGCAGTTGCAGCTGCAGCTGTAGTGTAATGCAATGTAATCAGTGTAGTGTAGTGTTGTGTAGTGTGGTGTGGTTCTAGTTGCAGTTGTATTTGTAGTTGTAGTGTGCTGCAGGGTAACTAGTGTAGCGTAGTGTAGTGTAATTGTAGTTGTAGTTGTGGTAGTAGTTTTGCTCACTTTTGACAAGGTGCACAATCCCTAGCGCCTGCCACGCAAAACGACGCTTCAACGTCCAAAAGTGGCGCGTACATGTAGTCTTTTGTAGATTTTGACTTCGAAATGTGCTTCGCGCCACAAAGGCGTGAACTTTTTCGACCTCTCAACTTCCAAAAGTGCTCTGAACCCGTCAGTTTTTTACACTTTTGACTTCGAGATGTGCTTCGCGCCACAACGGCGTGCACTTTTTCGACATCGCAACTTCGAAAAGTGGTCCGAGCATGGTGTGTCTCGTACATTTTGACTTTGAAATGTGCTTCGCGCCACAACGGCGTGCACTTTTTCGACATCTGAACTTCCAAAAAGTGGTCCGAGCATCGTCTGTTTTGTACCTTTTGACTTGGAAATGTGCTTCGCGCCACAACGGCGTGCAATTTTTCATCTCTCATCTGGCCAGCTGGCTCCGCACCCGCCGCTTTAGCGAGCCTACTGTTTGACCCTCCGGAGCCACAAATCATTGTAAAAACACAATGTTTCGCGACTTTCCTACCTTTTCGAGCACCTGTATCTTCTTTCTTCTGAGACGTTCTCTTTTTTGATCTTCTTTCTTCTTCTCTTCTCTTCTCTGACTCTTCCCATCTCTGCTTTTCATCTGTCCATATCGTCGGAAGTATCCCAACCGTTGCAAATCTATCTCTATCATTCCTTTTGGCCAGCCTCCAAAAAAAAACGGGGTCCGGACTTGTTTCGGGAATTATATATGTGCTTTCCGTTTTTGATTTTTTTTGGATCTCCTGTCCTGTCCGTTTCCCTTGCTATTTGCAGCATTTTGGGCTGGAAACTGCCATTTCAACAGCAGTTTGCAACATTTTGGAGTTCGAACCTTTCATTTCCGTGGTATTTACAACATTTTGGTGCTCGAGCTGTTCATGTCGCATGGTATTTTGCATCATTTAAGGTTGGTTTAGGGTTGGTCTATTTAGCGGGTTGGTTTAGGGTTGGTTTTCGGGTTAGTTTAATTTTTGCTGGTTGGTTTTAATTTTTTGGGGGGGGTTGGTTTAGGGATTGCTTAGGCTTGGTTTAAGGTCTATTTATGATTTGTTTAGGATCTATTTAGGTTTGGTTCAGGGTTTATGTCGGTTTGGTTTGAAATCTACTCAGTGTTGGTTTCAGATATTTGGGGTAAGTTTTAAAATTTATTCAGGGTTTGTTTAGGGTTTACTTAGGGTTGTTTTGGTTTTCTTTGGGGGTTGGCTTGGGGATTATTCAGGGTTAGTTTTAGTGTTATTTATATAGTGTATCTTGGGGATTGTTTGGGATTGAGCAACGAAAAAGCAAAGAAAGCAGAGAATAGCGGAGAAGCAGAACAGCAAAGAAGCAGAAAAGCAGAAGCAAAGAAGCAGGGAACAGCAGAAAAGCGAAGAAGCAGGGAAAAGCGGAAAAGCAAAAAGCAAAGGCAGAAATCTTAATCTTGGAGAAGCAGATAAGCAAAGAAGCAGAAAAGCAGAGAAGCAAAGAAGCAGAACAGCACAGAAGCAGGGAAAAGCAGAAAAGCAAAGAAGCGGGGAAACAGAAATCCAAGAAAATTCTCAAAACGGAAAAATAATTCCCAAAAATCTGGAGAGTGGTTAGAAGTTGCGGCCTGGTTGTTCCATGTAATCTAGTTGTTTTTTTAATGGGTTGTGCTGATTATATTCATAGTTTGATGTTTCTATGGTTTTCCGTGTGTTATTTTGTGTTTTGCTCTTGCTATATTACTATTTGTACTGCTTGGCTCTTTTTACGTAAAAGGTGTATTTGGGGTGCAGTTAGGACCCAAATACTGCATATAAATTGTTTTTCCCATGGTTGTTGCAAAACCACTTAGAAGTAGACCCATGGCAAGGGGCAAGTTTAACACATGTATTTTTACATATGTATATTGTAATATGCATATATATAAATATAAATATATATAATATATATATATATAGATGTATATGTGTATGTATGTGTGTATGTATGTGTGTATGCATATGTGTGTGTACCTATATCCCAGCAATACCTAATGTTTAGTGATATAGCAAAGGCCGATGTCTTTGCTGGGCCAGATTCTCCTTCTGACAAGTGGCTGGAGCAGCCACTCAGCCACTCTGGCAGAGCGGCTGGAGCAGCCGCTCACTCAGCCACTCTGCCAGAGTGGCTAACGCAGCACTCAGCCACTGTGGCAGAGCGGCTGGAGCAGCCGCTCACTCAGCCACTCTGCCAGAGTGGCTAACGCAGCACTCAGCCACTCTGGCAGAGTGGCTGAGGGGCTGCACCAAGCCACCGTGGCAGAATGTCTCAGTGGGCGAATAGCTAGTGCAGCTTAGCCAGTGGAGTGTAAGCAGTATTACCCAGATCACCATATATAATTGCCGATGTAATTGTTTATCCCCAGGGATCCCCGGAGATCAGATCCCTGGGGAGCCCAGGGGTCCCAGAGAGATCCCTTTGAAAAAAAAACTATCCCGGTAAGAGACCCCAAACAGTGTGAGGGGAGTAAAAAGTTCATGTATTATAATGCTGAAACGGATGTTAATGTTGATGATGATGATGATGATGATGATGATAGTGACAATGATGATGATGATGATGATGATGATGATGATGGTGATGATGATGATGATGATGGTGGTGACGATGATGATGGTGATGGTGATGATGATGATGATGGTGACGATGATGATGGTGATGGCGATGGTGATGATGATGGCGATGATGAGGATGATGATGATGACGATGATGATGATGATGATGACGATGATGATGATGCTGGTGACGATGATGATGGTGATGGTGATGGTGATGATGATGGCGACGATGATGATGGTGATGGCGATGGTGACGATGATGATGGTGATGGCGATGATGATGGTGACGATGATCATGGTGATGGCGATGATGATGGTATTGGTAATGGTGATGAAGATGGTGATGATGATGATGATGATGCTGATGCTGCTGCTGGTACTGTTGCTGTTGCTGTTGCTGTTGACGATGATGATGATGATGATGATGATGATGATGATGGTGACGATGATGATGATGATGATGATGAATGATGATGATGATGATGATGATGATGATGATGATTATGATGATGATGAGGAGGAGGATGATGATGATGACGATGATGACGATGATGGTGAGGATGGTGAGGATGGTGAGGATGGTGAGGATGGTGAGAGGAAGATGATGATGTGGGTGTTGAGGAGGAGGAAGATAATGCAGCTGAGGAGGAGGATGTTGAGGAGGAAGACCGGTCCCAAGACCGGGAAGCACACTTTGTGCGAGCCTGCACAGTCGAAATGCACACGGACATTTCACAAGAGGTTTTGTGCGGAAATTTAGAGGGAAAATGCCGGACGCTGCTCCCGCGGCCAGCATTTTGCGCGAGCCTCAACAGTCAAAATGCACATGGACATGTCACAAGAGGCATTTTGTTCAGTTCCATTTGGAGTCCTTCTCAAACATGTAATGTCTATGGACAGTCTCTTGTCGCCGACCTTGCCGAGATTGTTGCTTCTCAAATGATCTTCCAGTGGTTTGCAATCTATCAGCAATAAATATCAATAAATGTCTCATGAACCATCTGGTCTTCTGTTCCCAATTTTGTAATTATTCCAAGCTGCCGTGGATATCTTTCAGAATAGCTCTGATCCTCAATCCTTCCTCTACAACTGAACTCATTGCATATGTTTCTGCTTGGAGTGTACTGCGACAAACTCTTCGGATCATGGTTGATTGGATGATTGCCAACTGATTACGTGAAACTTGTTTCTTTCTTTTCCCAGAAATCTGGGTTTGCCAAAATGGTCATGCGTGCCCTTTGGCTTCCATGTTTCTGTGGTTTGCCTTTGAGATATTCTGTTTTGTTGCTCCATGATGCATCCCATACTGTGACAAGTATAATGTTCTTCCAGTCGGTTGCATCTGACTCGTACACCAATCCATGGTTGGCATGTTGTTGTGCTTCCGGTACAGCGTCAATGGCATATACCAAGTCCTTTACTGTCACTGCAACTAAGGCACTTTGTATTACAAATCCAGTCTTGCCTGCCTTGCTACCCAAGCAAG